AAGGAAGGAAGGAAGGAAGGAAGGAAGGAAGGAAGGAAGGAAGGAAGGAAGGAAGAAAGAAAGACATACCTTGCCTGAAGAATGACACCACAGTCCTGTCCCCCCACCCGTGTGCACGTGCACACTCATTGTGAGCTGTGTATTAACGTCCTTGTGACTGATTTCTCGAGGTTTACGATTGTCCTGGTTTGGGTTTCAGACTGTCCTTAGCAGCTTGATGGAATACTGACGAGGAAAAGAAATGATGCTCATGGGGATACTCAGACAGCTCGGGGACAGTGTGTGCTCATGGGTGATGGACCCACAGATAGACATAACAGATGTTAGATACACAGTAAACAGAAAGATGAGAGAGAGCGCGATGGCTAAGACAGCCTGGAACACGGCACATGTCGATGACAGGTAACTGATGGAATAGATGATAGATAATAGAGATAGAATGTGATGGTGATAGATAACGGAAAGACAGAGGCAAGGAGAATGAGCAATGGAGAGAGGGGGAGGGAGGGAGAGAGAGACCAGAAAATATAACGAAGCAATGCAACAGAGCTCCAACACCAGGGGTAAAATAATCGCACGATCATCTCCAGACAGAGGCAGAGGTCATGATGATTGACAGCCCTTGTAATAACACATCCTGGCCACAGGGAGGGAGAAGCTGGCAGGCAGACAGCCCCAGGGCACCCTGGCAGAAGCCACAGGCACAGGAGCTGCAGAGGGCTAGTCACAGACAGCCAGTCACCGGCACAGAGGACCGAGTGCACCTGAGCCCCCTGCTCACCCCCAGCTGGCTGCCCCCCTCCCACACAGTCCAGGCTCAGCCCGGGGACACTGCTGCTGGGCTCCGGGTGGGTCCTCCCACCTCAGCAAACAATCAAGGCAACACACACAAGCACAGAGGCATGCACACACATGAACAGGCATGCACACACACACACACACATCATGTGAGCACACACAGATATACGCATACAGAGACATACTTGCACACACATGCACAGAGACATGAACACACACATGTGCATGCACACACAGAGATACACACAGACATGCACACACCCATGCATACAGGCATACACACAGGCACAGAGACGTGCACAAACAGACACGCACACACACTACACACACACACACAAATACACACACAGAGGGACACACATGCACATACAGAGACATACACACTCACACAGACACACACAGGCACAGAGACATATACACACACACAAACACATGCATGTGCCTGAGTGTGCCTGTGCATACAGACACAGACACACACACACAGGTCAACCAGATCCAGACAATGCTTCCTCTCAAGCGACTCTGCATGTCAAGGCAGTCCAAGCCAGCCACCACAGGCATGAGGTGGTAACCGCTACATGCAACAGACTGGCCACCAGCATCGTACAAGTGCCGGCTGAAACCAGAATAAACAAGCATGCCACTCTCTCTTCTCGTCCAACAGACAGTTTGCAACCTTAGCCAGAGCGATGTAAGACGGACGTGATGGCTGAGGTTCAGCCCTACAGCACGTGCCTGACCTCCACAGAGCCCTGGTTCTGTCCAAATCCCTGCAGAAAGGAGGGAAGAGAGGCTGCCCGTGGCTACCTGCCCCAGCGGGGATCTGCAACATCCATGTGAGAGGCAGGGTGGCTGTACCCCGGCTGGGCTCACTGGCTCCGGGGAATAATGCTGAGAGTCAAACAGAACACCTCATCTTCCTCTGGCTCTGCATGCCACACACATGCAGCCAACCAACACAAAGGGAGGGAGGGAGGGAGAGAGGGAGGAAGAGAGGGAAGGGGGGAAGGAGGGA